TAGTGATTCCCCATTATCTATAAGTTTAAGTGTAAATGGTTTAGCAGGACCTTCACAGTTGACATTCACCTACCTTCTTCAAATTCTATCAGCCTCTTGCAAGTTCTTCTATTTCTCCTCCCTATCAGTGATCCCTAAGATTCAGCAGTAAGGAGCTATCTTCCATTCTTACATTTGACATATGCCTTCTCAGCTCTGTGCTTCTTCACAGTATGTTCCTTGTGCTTAGAAGAGCTCCTTTGGCCTATTCTCTGTCTGTCGAACTCCTAAACCTCTTTTACCTCCCAGATCTGAGGATCATCTCTTTTGTTGCATCTTCTCTACCTTTTAACTTTGACTATGTCTCTAAGAATGTCGTACATAGTGTTGATCACATCATGCTGTTAGTTGTTTAGCTGATTCCTCCATTAGACTGTGACCTTCTTGAGGGCAAGAACCCCATCTCATTATCTTTTTATTCCTATGTTTAACTTAATATTAGCAGAGTCTCACTATATAGTTGTTGAATTAATAAAACTAAATAAATAGGGTTGTTTATACTGGGCAGGTCTGAGGACTTTCCTAAGGACCCTTCCTGGTTTTCCATGATTGATATTCTCTTTTAGACACTGCCCTGGTCCTCTCCTAACGTAAGCGAAAGGGAAGGGAAGAGAGAATAGGAATATTCAAGACAGTGTTGACAATTAGAGCTGAAAGCTGCTTTGATTCTGTACCCAAACTGAGACGTTCCAGAGAGGTTTCTTGACTGTCGGCACTACTGGGAACCTTTCACATCATACCATTGAGGGCAAATAAATTCATTGCATTTCATAGTTGAGCAGTTTAATAGATGAACTTATGTTCATCCTTTGTTAACCTGATATCTACTCGACCTGCCGTATTTTTTAGGCTATCACAGCAGCACTTTCAAAAGTATGTGCTTTTTAAAAACATTGTTTGCTTCAGGTTTTTGGTTATGTAAAAGGGAGATTTTCTTATAAAAATACTTTTTACTCACAAATCCTGTGATAAGTTATTCGTTTGCATAAAGTATTACCCAGTGAAATTCAGACTTAAAAATATTTGAAGACGACGATAGTTAGTCATACTAACGTTGAGCACTCACCACGGTCCAGGTACTGTCCTTAGTGCTTCAAGTGGAATGTCCTATTTAATTCTCATGACAGCTTTGTGAGGGAGGTAGGTATTATTCTCCTTTTCTCTAGAAGAGAAAAACAGAAGCTTAAACAAGTTAAGCAACTTGCCCACATCCTCCGGCTGTTAAAGATCACCGTCTGGACTGGGATTTGGGCAGTCTGGCTCCCAAGCTCACACTTGTAATCACTACAGCTGTGCAGAGTATAATTTAAATGAAATTTCTATTCTACCTGAAAACCAGAGGTTTGTCTGCCTGTCAGAGTCTTAGCATCTTTTTGAATAGATTGGTTATTCCTCCTTGAAATCATAGCTCCCATTTCCACGTTTTTTTCTTTCATTCCCCATATGCCACTGGTAAATTGCACTCTAATTCCCTTTTACCTCCTTCTTTGGGACAATCTCATTACTGCTTCATGAGCCAGTGCACCATAGATGCATCTCATTACAGCTCCTCTCCTTGATCAACTGTGTTGATGCTGAGATACAAGTACCAAGCTGATATCAAATGCATGCCTGTATTTATTCTTCTTGCCACCCAAAGAATGGGAAACTTTCTATGCAATTCCAGTTAAAAATCAGAGAATGCCTTATTCATTTATGTCTTTTATACTAAGGATAAATATAGAGGCTGCAATAAGAACAATGCTTATCTAATTAGGCAAGTACAGATTTGGATGTTCGACCAATCAATTAGATTTCATTGAAACAAAACAAATACACACCCATGCAAAATAAACTCCAAAACCAAAGATCTATACTACTCTTGTCAATTAATGTTTGTCTTAAATTTTCTCTTATAGCTACTCTATATTATAGAAATGTAGCGTATGTTGAAGTGTACTTCCTTCTGTGAATTAGTAGAACTTTAGTTGTTTCTATTAGTTTTATAATTATAATGATATAATATTAACAATAGAACTACTATGAAACTCTTACAAAGTACAAAAGGATTACACTTTTTATATTAGAGTAAAAATTATCCCATAGAGTACTGGCTTTATTATCAGGCAGTGAGGATAATGAGAAATTTCATGCTTTTCCCTTAAGAAAACTCGTACATTTCTATGCATCATCCCCCTCCCTGAAGAATATTGCCCTCTCAATTTCATCCCTTTAAGACTTACTATTTAGTCCTTGTTATAAAACAACACAAATCTTGATAAAGCAACTACTTTGCTATCATTCATATACTGCTTGAGTGTGATCCATTTCTAGAATGATGTTTTGGCATGAAGAGAATCTGTAAAGAGGAAACAGTTCTGGTGTAGAGGAGAGAGGAGAGAGAACAATTCAAAGGTTGAGCAGAAATAAAGGGGAGTACCTAGAACTAAAGAAAGTGGCAGCAAACAACCTTCTCTCAATTCCCAATATTTGCCCCCAAATCAACAATGGCCCATCCGATAGCCATCTTCAATTCCACACAAGGGAGGTTGTTCATTTTTGTTAGGTGATATGTTTGAGAGTTTAAAGAATGAGTGTGTACATGAGGCTTGTCTGTGCTCCCTTAGATGTGACCCCACTCCCACCATAATCTGTCCATCATTTCTGGGCCTCATCCCATCCTTAGGATCTGATTTTCTATTGGTTAGCTTTTGTCTCTGTTTCATTAACCCATGTGAAAAATGGCCTTCAAGATCTTTCTATGAAGTATCACTGTGACCTCGGGGATCACAGGAATGCAACTGGACCAGACAAGTAGCCTGAAATAGTTGACATGCTTTTGTGTTAGCCTATCCAGTGTTTTAGTCTTGGTTTTTCAGAGTGCAGTCATGGGACATAAACCTGTAATAAAACCTCATTTTCTTTTAGATGCAATGAATTTATGTGGGGCTAAACTTGCAGGGTTTCTTAAGCTCAACATTATTGGGAAGAGACCAGCTTTGGCCTGTATTTTTTTCCAGCTGAGCATAGACCCACACCATTCATGTTGTCCCAGTTTGAACTGGGCAGAGAAGAGACTATTTGCCAGCTGGTAGGCTTTTGTTAAAAGGCAAGATTGCAAGATCTAAGTGACTTTGTTCTAGCTTATATTACCAGGAACCCCTGCATCTATGCTTCTTGGGGAACCCATACCATGTTGGGTTCCAAGTACTTGGCTGTACAATCAAGAGCAAAGCTACTCTCAGGAAAGACTTACGTCTGTACCATTTGGTGGACTTCTTTTTCTAATTGTCTTTACACATAGGTTTGGGATTCATAATAACAGCTAAATTTAATTGAGCCCTTCCCATGTACCAGGTACTCTTCTAAAGACTTTACATGTCCTGGGTCACTCAGTCCTTACAGCAATGCTATGAAGTAGGTACCATTATTATCTTCACTTTATAGATTCAGGAAACTGAGGCATAGTAAGGTTAAATAACTTGACCAAGAGCATGCAGCTTGGAAGGGGCAGAGCTGAGAGTAGATCCCAAGGAGTCTGGCCCTAAAGTTTGTGCTCTTACTCCCTAGGGATTGGGATAGAGTCTTCCTAGAACAAGTGGCAAAAAAAAGGCTATTCTCAGGCCAGGATTGTGTCATAGCAAGAGGCCTTCACAGCTATGTCTATAGCAAGGTCTCTAGAATGCATCTCTAGTTCTTAGGGGACCTGAATAAAAGCTCTCCAGGATTGACCTCTCACTTCGAGAATAGTTTGGAAGGAGACTAGAGGGTCCAATGAGACTGCTGAGTGGTAGTCAGGCTCATGTCTGAGGCAGGATTCAGAACAGGTTCTGAAAGGGCCTGGCAATAGAGGTTTATTGTGAAACTTAGCTTTTTAGTGGGCAGCTGAGGACTCCCTGTGGTAGCCCTGCCCTAGAACAGTCAGTCCACATCTTAAGAGGTTTGTCTGTATTGGCTGGTTTGGTTCCTGTGGGTTCTTGGCTGTGTTCTCTTCTGTCCTTGAGCCCTCCATGTCAGGAACAGAACTTTAGGCCAATCGGGCCATTATGGATATATATTTATTTCTTTTATACTAAGGCATAAATATAGGGGCTGCAATGAGGACAATGCTTAACAATTAAGCAAGTACAGATTTGGATGTTTGATCAATCAATTATATTTATGGTATATCTGAATCCCTGGTCCAGTTGAGGATCTAATTCTTTTCAAAGAGGCAAGACTGGGATCCCAGGAGAGCAATTTCCGAAGGTGACTGTCACAGTCTGACCTCAAGTGACCTCTCTGTCATTGATCACGTGTTTTGCTTCTCTAGAATGACAATTATTTATAAGACATTGTGTATTAGATGTTTCATTTATGTCCCTGTTTCCAGGCTGCATTTTAAGCCCTTTAAGATAAAAAATTACATCTTATGCAATATGTCCCTTACTTATAATAGGTGATAATCAACATGTTATTTTGTTTGACCAGTTAAAATATACTAGAGTCTCTTTGCAAAACTAAGTTTTCTAACTTGATTGTGGCATGGATTACTAAATAGGATGTTGGTCAACATATTGCAGAGAATCATATGGTTTTAAAGCTTATGGTAATTTTGAAGTAGAAAAATAACAATGGTTTGCAAAATTTTACTTCAAAAGTGTTTGAATTTTGGTTCTAAAAATAATTACTTTAGTTTGATTTATGTTTGAATTCAATTTGGTTTATTCACTTAGCCATTTCCTCGTCCAAGTCAATGTTTTTACATAGTTTTTCAGTCATGTTTAGTGGTTTATATCTGCCTACATTTCCTCACTCCCACAATTACATAAAAATTGAAGTGGTGTTTTATCACATCTTAATAAAGATTGGCCAGATGCTGAAGGTACTTTAAGAAGAAGTGTCATCATTTAATTCCGAGCCTCTGAGAAAAGGCTTAGATCTGTGTGTTGGGTGTTCTCAGATACAGAGATGTAAACGCCATTTTTCTGTTCCATTTTCAGGTCACATGTGCCAATTTAACGAACGGTGGCAAGTCAGAACTTCTAAAATCAGGAAGCAGCAAATCCACACTAAAGCACATATGGACAGAAAGCAGCAAAGACTTATCTATCAGTCGACTCCTGTCACAGACTTTTCGTGGCAAAGAAAATGATACAGATTTAGACCTGCGATATGACACTCCAGAACCTTATTCTGAACAAGACCTCTGGGACTGGCTGAGGAACTCCACAGACCTTCAAGAGCCTCGGCCTAGGGCCAAGCGAAGGCCCATTGTTAAGACGGGCAAGTTTAAGAAAATGTTTGGATGGGGTGATTTTCATTCCAACATCAAAACAGTGAAGCTAAACCTGTTGATAACTGGGAAAATTGTAGATCATGGCAATGGGACATTTAGTGTTTATTTCAGGCATAATTCCACTGGTCAAGGGAATGTATCTGTCAGCTTGGTGCCCCCTACGAAAATAGTGGAATTCGACTTGGCACAACAAACCGTGATTGATGCCAAAGATTCCAAGTCCTTTAACTGTCGCATTGAATATGAAAAGGTTGATAAGGCTACCAAGAACACACTCTGCAACTATGACCCTTCAAAAACCTGTTACCAGGAGCAGACCCAAAGTCATGTATCCTGGCTCTGCTCCAAGCCCTTTAAGGTGATCTGTATTTACATTTCCTTTTATAGTACAGACTATAAACTAGTACAGAAAGTGTGCCCTGACTACAACTACCACAGTGACACACCTTACTTCCCCTCGGGATGAGGATGAACATGGGGATGAGACTGAAGCCTGAGGAATTAAAGGTCATATGACAGGACCGTTACCTCAAAGAAGAAGGTCACATCTGTTGCCTGGAATGTGTCTACACTGCTGCTCTCGTCAACCGGCTGCAAATACGCTAGTGGAAAACAATCTGATGTAATTTCTGCCCAGTCAGCTTCATCTCTCAGTATAGTTGTAAATCACCACAGATTTTAAAGTCACACTTGAAGACATGCTCTCACACGTAGATGTACACAAACACACACTCCTACACATTTCAGCTTGCATCTGTCATGATTCCTGTCGAGAGGGCTTTCGTTGTCTGACTCATAATGGTTCAGGATAAACTATCATCAAGCAAAAGGATTAACTTGACAGTGAATGGAAATCTCTTTTAAAGTCTTGAGTACATGCTAATCAATAATCCCCACTCATGCATTTCCTACTGCTTGGAGTAGCTGTACTGGTAAATACTACTGTAGGAGTATATGCTTGTTAAAATGGAAAAAATGTGTCTTTAGAGCTCAGTATTCTTTATTTTATGAACACAACAAAGTGTAGTAACTTTTTTCCAGCATACAGTAGGCACATTCAAGGTGATACAAGATGGCTCTTTTTTCTATGGAGGGAGCCTGTTCTCAGTAAAGATGAGCAAACATTTGGAATTTACATGTGGGCAGACATCGGATTACAGCTTTCATCACGAATCACTGGACTTGTGCAAAGTGAAGACCAGCCAAGGTTGCTTGAAACAGGTTCTGATCATTATGTAAGAAGGGAAATGCCTGACAGACACCATGTAAGTTGTAAGTGTCTGTCTTATCTTTACTACACATATTGTAACAAACTCAATACCCTAGTCTTCATTTGTATGAATGGTTTGTATTGTACATAGTTTAACCAAGTGTTATTCAAGCTGCTTATTAATATTAACTTGTACTTGTCTCTCTGCTTGTTATTGGTTAAAAAAGAAAAAAAAGATATGAAGAATCCATTCTATCAACGTAGCTGTGAACTCCATAAAAAAAAAAACAATGTACAAAGCATTTATTCAGCTCAAGTATCGTTGAAAGCTATACATATACAACATTACAGTCTGTCTGTATTTAGATATTTTATTTCTGGACAAAACAAAATGTACATAAAAATAAAATGCTTAAAGTTGAGTTTCAATATGTACTTGTGTAAGATGATGATTTAAATGGTTCTGACAAGAAGAATGTGCTGGAATACAGTCATGGCTTTGCAATTCGTGTGTCTAAATTCGTACAGAACTATCTAAATTGCTATTAGTTGCCCAGTCAAAACAACTTAGGAGTTTCAACCTCAAGCCTGGGAAACAGTTGTGGCATACAGCATTGCACACATTTTTGGTTTACTGTCATGCTAGTTATTCAAGAATATCAGAAATCAGTGAGCATAAGGACATAACTGAGGTCTCCTAAATTAATTATAACTAATTGTTTTTTTTCCTGTATAGAGTCTCTAATTAACAGGGGGATTGAGAGGAAGGTAATTTTTTTTCTTTGAAAGAAAGTCAAGATATCTGAAGATTTTGGCTGACTTTTCCTGATCCTACCGTAATGACTCAACTGAGAAAATTATAATAGCATTGGAGGGCTTCGATGCTCAATTTACCCATACCAAATGGAATCAATTTATCTATATAGCATTATTTATGGACATTAAACTTTCTTTTTAAAAATAATTACTGTACATAATCACAGGAAATAAACAGAAGAAGAAATATGCAAAGTAATCCATTTTTAAAGTCACCAATCGGGGTTTGAGATATGAAGAGTCTTAAATGTTAACCAAAGAAGCCAAATTAAGAACACTAACCCATTCTCATCTTCCCTTCATACTGCATAGGGATAAGTGTGTTTTCATATAGAAAATAATAGAAGGACTACAGGGAACAAAACCACAGAGTTCTAAAGTGAGAACTAATTGACTTGGCTAAAGATTGCCTTCAACTACAAATGAAAGACATATCATTCTGTTAAATGTCCATCTCTCAAAGTCCTCCAATATATCTAGACAACCATTTACATCAGTGTGTTAATTAATTTGCATGGAATTTGGAAGCTAATGTTAGAATGCACTCTCTTTGGCACAATAGGCAATAATAGCTTCTTCGGTTCTGGCTGTGGGACATATTTGCCATGGATAAATCTTGTTATTCTGGGTTTATTTATCCAAGTGGTCACTTAGGAATTAGTTTGCTCTTAGCAAAAAGGGGAATAAGTGAGAAGGGGAAAATCATTTTTTTAGGGTCATTTGATAGTGGACTGTGACTTTCTTTATGTGGTCTAATCTGTCTTTTTGTAATCCAAAATTCAAGATGAGATAAAAATATGCTTTAATCTCAACCCATCTGCCCTGTTGTCCAACCTCCTCATGAAATGTCACTTCTACATTTTTATAAACATATAGAACATAAATAACTAATATTCAACAAATTGAATTTATTTTTCTGTTGTTTTTCTTTAGAAGAAAAATGGAAAGAAAATGTAGCAAACTTCCAACAAGGATTTCAATTTTTAAAAATCAAACTTTTAGGTCTCTTTTTCTGGGCCTGTACACTGTTATCCCAAACTCCTACATCTGTAATACAGAAAAGTCATGAGGACATAGAACTTTGTCTCAAAAGAAAGTTTACTTGTATCCAATATACTCTTCCTGTTTTAGGCAAGGAAGTAGGAAAAGCAAGATGATGTATACGATGGTTCAAAGGTTCAGGTTAAAAGCTTTATTAGAGCAACTTGTTGCTTCAGCAAACTGGTTACTTAAGTTTTAATTATGCTAGAAAATTATTTGCTACTTGGAAAAAACAAACTTTAAGCTGCACTAAGGAGATTACCTTCTCTAGAATCTTAAATATTATTTCACACTTTTGCTAAAATATAGAAAAAACTTCAAGGTGGAAATAGATAGCATCTGATGCAAACATGGGTTTGTCATCACCTATTGTTCTTTTCAGAAATATTTTAGTAAAGTTGAAATTATTAAAAAGAAATGATTATTGCAACTTTTTGCCTCATGGAAGAAAAATGATACAAGTTACTGGTTTATCTGTTTATGATGAAAACAATGAATTGTCATGGTTTGGTTTCAGTTGGGCAGTTTTTGGGTCCATGGTTCTTGTGAGACTTGCTCTGCCTGAGTAGAAGGGGTATAACTGTTAACAGCACAGTACTGAAGTTCCGGAAGTGATTATTCTGCAAGTAATGGAGATACTTGTTAGATTTAAGACTGTGGATTGGGAATCTTCATGTTCCAACACTTCAGCAATAAACTGTAAGCGATATTTTTGCACAGAATAGATTAAAAAAAATCATGAGAAGCCTGAGAAAGTGTTTGTCTTTTTCCTCTTCCCCACTGATTTACATGTAACAAGCAGCTTAACCAATAGAAACAGCTCTTTGCAAAAGCAATTTGCATCTCCACCATCAACTTTGAATGTCAAGTTTTAGCCTGAAGCAAACTCAAATGGTTGTGTTTATAAACCTTTGAGACACTTGATTGATATAGCAGTTTCAGACAGTTATTGACATTTATTCAATTATCAATCTATTTTCTATTATTTATCTTTACATCTCTATTTAAATTAAATGCAAATCAGTAGATATATTAAAAACTTAATGAATTTAAAAACATTAATTTGCATAAAAATGATTACTATTTACCTAGTTTGTAGGCGATGAAAACTGAGTAACTTGGTAGCCAGCATTGAATCCTCAAAAGCTGATTGCTAAGTCAGGCTTTTCTCAGGAGTCCCATGCATATCAAAGAATGATTTCAGGGGTTAGGAGCATAAGGAAAACAATCTTTCTTAATTTAAAATTGTGATATATCATTGAGTTTTATATCCAATACCATCAGAAATATTTTTAGGTAACAAATTTATGATTACTTTTCGTTTTACCAGGACGCAATGGACAGAAATCTCACGAGAGAGCTTTAGTTTCAATTTGTTTGTGTGAGCAACGTCTAGAGAAATAGCCTCAAATTAGGAAACTACAGTTTCTGAGTAGTTGTCCAAGTGTCCCAAGTTTGATCAAAAGCACTTTAATATTTATAATTCTGCACTTGCAGGAATATGCCTTTTATCACTGATGGATTGGAGGATGACTTTAAAGGTCCCAGAAGTGATGAATGCAGAAGGATTTGAGACCTTCTGTCATTGACTGCGATGGTTGTTGCCATTGGAAGTGCCAGGGTGTTGATTCTCCCAAATTCTAACCTGTGAATTAGGCATACGGCTAAAGCTCTGTTCACATCATCCTCACCCAGCAGCCTCTGGTTTCTGTTTCCTAATCCTATGTCAAGGCTCCAAAGAGACAACTAGAATGTTAACTGCTCTCTGATGGTCAAACTCCTTGACTCAAACACAGGAGTAAACTTGGCCATTGAGATGGTGACTATTTAAAGAAATAAGGCAAGAAAGTTGTTAGAATGCCACTATTGTCAAATAAGTATTTTTTAAAAGTAAAATATCTACTATCATTAGTTACTGTCAAAATTCACTTTGTGAATTTTCTGAAATCCAGTTTTATTATTGCAATTAATTTCTTTTTGCATATTATAAAAGTTTTTAGTACAAAGCATGGTCAAGTGACATATCCTAAGCAAGTCGAAAATATTTCATGAACTTTTTTTTAAATTAAGGTCTAATTGATATATAACATTATGTTAATATCAGGTGTACAACATAATGATTCGATATTTGTATATATTGTGAAGTGATCACTACAAGAAGTCTAGTTAACATCTATCTCCATACATAGCTAAAAAAACTTTTTTTCTTGTGATGAGAACTTTTAAAATCTACTCTCTTAGCAACTTTCAAATATGCAATGGAGTATTATTAATTATAGTCACCACATTGTACATTATATCCCCAAGACTTGTTTATTTTATAAGTAGAAGTTTGTACCTTTTGATCCCATTCACCGGTTATGCCCACCCCACCTCTGGTGACCACCAATCTATTCTCTGTATCTATGAGCTTGCTTTTGCATTTTACATTCCACATACAAGTGAGATCATATGGTATTTGTCTTTCTCTGACTTATTTCACTTAGTAGAATGCCTTCAAGTTCCATCCATGTTGTCACAAATGGCAAGATTTCATTCTTTTTTTATGGCTGAATAAAATTCCATTGTATATGTATATATACCACATTTTCTTTATCTGTTCATCCATTAACGGACACAGGTTGTTTGCATATTTTGGCTACTGTAAGTAATGCTGCACTGAACACAGGGGTGCATATATCAGGATGTGTGATGCCTCCAGCTTCGTTCTTCTTTCTCAAGATTGCTTTGGCTTTTTGGAGTCTTTTGTGGTTCCACACAAACTTTAGGATTGTTTGTTCTATAGAAATACAACAGATTTCTGTAAATTGATTTTGTATCCTGTAACTTTATTGAATTAATTTATTAGTTATAACAGTTTTTTTGGTGGAGTCTTTAGAGTTTTCTGTATATAATATCATGTCATCTGCAAATCGTGACAATTTTACTTCTTCCTTTCCAATTTGAATGTCTTTTATGTCTTTTTTTTTTTTGCCTTATTGCTCGGACTGAGACTTTCAACACTACTTTTAATGAAAGTGACAAGAGTGGACATCCTTGTCTTCTTCCTGATCTTAGAGGAAAAGCTTTCAGCTTTTCACCATTGAGTATGATATTAGCTATGGGCTCATCATATATGTCCTTTACTATGTTGTGGTAAGTTCTCTCTATACACATTTTGTTGAGAGTTTTTATCGTAAATGGATGTTGAATTTTGTCAAATGCTTTCTCTGCTTCTATTGCGATGGTCATATGATTTTTTATCCTTCATTTTGTTAAGGTGGTGTACCACATTGATTTTATTTATGGATGTTGAACCATCCTTGCATACTCAGAATAGATTCCACTTGATCATGGGGTATGACCCTTTTAATGTATTATAGAATTTGATCTGCTGATATTTTGTTGAGGATTTTTGCATTAATATTCATCAGAGATATTGGCCTGTAATTTTCTTTTCTTGTGGTGTTCTTGTCTGGTTTTGGAATCAGGGTAATGCTGGCCTCATAAAATGAGTTTGGAAGTGTTGCCTCCTCTTCTATTATTTGGAAGAGTTTGAGAAGGATTAGCATTAATTCTTCTTTGAATGTTCGGTAGAATTTACGAGTGAAGCTGTCTGGTCCAGGACTTTTGTCTTTTGGGAGGTTTTTGGTTCCTGATTCAATCTCCTTAACAGTAATCAGTCTGTTAGATTTTCTATTTCTTCATGATTCAGTCTTTAAATCTGGAAAACAAAACATTAAATAACCAGTAATGATTTAAATGAAGTCATAAAAATTATAATCATCTTTATCAGTTAATTCTGTCTCCTATAATTAATTCTTGTTTTGCTTCATCTTGGGTTAGCAGCTTTATGAATCAATCAGTTTTCCATTAGAGCTTAGAAATTCTTACCTAGTTCAGTTGTTGTGATCCTAAAGTTATCAAACCTGTAGTTTTCAGAGTCTTTCCTATGAATCTCCTTGAACAGTTTACCCATTTTCCAAAAAGGCACAAGATCCTGTCCAGAGTGGGTATGCATATAGGGAATAGGAGTTTTTTGAGGGAAGTGGAGAAAGAATTTTAGATCAAGTGGCACCCATCTTTGCCTTTAGATTCCCTAAGACATCTTAAATATGAGGGGACCTATTTCTTAGCAGCTGTTCCAAAACACAGAATAGGGTGACTTACCAAGACATTTCAACAAACAAAATACAGGTAAGTACAATAAAATTGGAGAGTTCAAAACACAAAGAAAGCAGAGCTTGGATGCAAGAGACACCCTCAAACTCCAGGGTAGGTGAGAAAGCAACAAGCCCAGTAGGCTCTGTGGGTACCAGCATCTGTTTGCTCACTGGCCTCGAGGTTGCTGGGGTTGTGGAGGGTCTTCACTGGATCCCACGTCTGATGCCATGAATTGTCAAAAGTTCAGAAATAATAGAAGAAAAGCTATTGAATCATCAAAGCAGTAATTAGCGACAGTTTATTATGCACATACCAAAAACACAGTTTGCAAACCGCAAGCATTCAAACCAAAACATGGAATGAGGCTCAGGGGTATATTGTTATAAAGCGGCTCATATAATGAGAAGGTAGTGACTGTTTATTCTTCATAGTGATTGGTTATAATATTTACATTTTCTTAAATGATAGGGAATTGGCTGGTGGTTATCTCATATCACTTTTGGGAAACAGTTTAAGTTTTGCTTATGATTTCTAGAGGCATAAACAAGAAATAACCCAGGTCAAATTCGTCTTGCAAAATAAGCTAAGTTAAGCTTTGTTTGTATGACTAAACTAGTTTTGTCTGCTCAGGAAATTTTCAAGGCTGGTCTCTGATTGTTTTTAATGTTAACAAGCGGAATAAAAAAGAAAAAGATGGTGTCTGCAAGCTTTAGCAAGGCAGAGGGAGAGTGTGAAGATGGCGCCCACCAGCCCCGCTCCGCAGAGTACCCCAGCAGGCCTCTGGCTCTCAGTCTGATGCTTTACACTTGGCAAATGCTAGCCTCTTTCATGAAAACTCTGGGTGTTTTTTGAAGGGCTCCTTCTGTGCCGAGCCCTGCACAGGCGAGTCTGCACACAAGCACTTTAAAAACCATTCCTCAGCTCGCCACAGTCCAGCGGATCTCGTGGCCATCGGACCTGTTGGTTTTCAAAGCTAGATGTTTTGGGGGCTTGTCTCTCAGGTGCAGATCTTAAAAGTTGGGGTGCTCAATGTAGAGTATGAACCCTTCACTTCTAAGATAGAAGCTCCAGGTTTTGTGTTCCCTCCCGATTGTGGCTCTCTGTACCAGGGTGGGGTTTATGATGAGATTGTGTCTTAGCCTTTTCTACCTGCTTCGGTGTATTTCCCTCTCTTTTGCCCGACGTGAAGCAGTGGCTCTGCTAGTTTTTAGTTTTCTTCAGAAGATACTGTTCCATATGTAGCTATAGATTTGGTGTGTCTGTGGGGGGAAGCAAGTTCAGGATCTTTCTGTGTTGCCATTTGAATTGGAATTTCCTCACCAACTTTTTTAAGAGAGGTAAGCAGTGGTTATTCTCTCTTAACTACTTCCTTCACCCAAAAGACAAAGGGATACAAATCTCTGATAATGGCTAATAGTTATTGAACAGTTAAGGATGAACCATTTCATGTGCTAAGCAGTTTCCATGTGTTCCCTCATTTAAGAACCTCAGCTTTATGAGGTAGGTACTCTCATTAGGCACCTGCTGCAGTGAGGAGTCTGATGCTTGGAGACAAGAAGCAAATTGCCTGAAGTAGCACAGCTCTTAAGCGATATATCCAGGAGTCAA